AGCTCACCAACAATGAGTGACAAGTTTCGAGACAAACTGTTGAAATCTTAAATATTTATATGGAAATGTACTTATTCCGAAAGCTGGCTGTCCTAGGTTTGACAACTAGGTGAGTACTGGGTGCGAACTAAGATTACCTGACCAAAATGACAGCTATTCAGTGATCGGTAGTTTCCAATCATTCTCCAGATATTATCCCATGATTGAAATCTTCACTTCGAATAAGTCCGCATAAATCATCAATCTTAAAATCTGTTTAGTTCCTAACTAATCTCTAAACCACTAACAACCCTTTAAGAAATACAGTTCAAAACAATACTTTGTATATCAAATTCCACCGGCACACAAACGTGCATCTATCGGCAGATAACCTTTGATTACCTCTGACTATTTTAAGCTAACTTCTTATGTGTTTGAAAATCAAGCTACGATCAATTGCAAGTATAAACTACAGTACAACATCGTATGATAATAAATAATTTTGATAGCATATTGAATTTATTTGGTCGACGTAAAAATAAACTCGAATAGTCGATATAAGCTTTTCTACCTGACCAGTATGTTTACTGTAGTTTTCGTTGTTTGGGTTCAATATTTGTATGAAGAACGATAATGCAATTAGTAAAAGGTTTCATTGTTACTTTTTGTAACAGTTCTTTGCACTTTGAACTAATTGTTTGGAATATTCTTTGGGTAGTGGTTACTAGTCAAATGTACGACAGTTGTTACGTCTTATTTAGGATTTGTCAGCAGAACGAACTTGCATTCAGAGGTTAATATTCATTATTGAATGCCATTCAAAGAAATAATCAACTATCAGACACAGGCATTGTCAGAATGTCCACCCAAAACGGCCTTTATTTCAACAAAAGTTTATCGTGTCAGGCCTCAACAATGAGATCGAAGTAATTACAGTTGACAATAATAATAGTAATAATAATAATTATTATAGGGAGGGAGAATACAAAAACTGCTTAAGAAACATACTGCCTGATGTCTGAATAGTGGCACAAACATTCCGTGCGTATTTATAATTCAGTAAACTAATTCAGATAACCCCGTAATGGTAATAATTTCGGCTACGCGAATAATCAGACTAATATAGCCCAGTCTCTGTAGCTTCCCATTTTCCATTGATCTCTGATGTTTCATGTTATTTACTCAGTTCTCCTCTGGACATTATGTCTAGAGGTATCGTCACCTCAGTCCTATATTCGTTCCCTCAAGTGGTGATTGGTATGCACTGTTTAGATGACTACCTACACTTCTTACTCCTCGTGGGAGCATAGGCCACCTACCAGAATCATCCAGCCAACTCTGTCCTAGGTTCTCCTTTCCGTTTGTTTACAATTGCTACTCATTCTTTTGATGCCTACCCTTAATTCCTGATACAATGTGTTCACTATTCTCCCTCTCTTCCTTTGGCCTTCACAATTCCAAGTTAGGATTCGCCTCGTAGTGCAATTTGACGATTTCCTCAATGTACGTCCTATCTACCTCCAATGTCTTTTCCTAATTTCCTCTTCAGATGGAAGTTCGTTTGTTTTCTTCCACAGTAGGTTGTTGTTGGTGGTATCCGGCCAATGGATATGGAGCATCTTGCACAGACAACTGTTTATAAATACCTGTATGTTTTTGATTATGGTTGTAGTAGTTCTCCAAGTTTCAGCTCGGTATAATAGAGCTGTCTTGAAATTTGTATTGAAGAGTCAGACTTTGATGTTGGCTGACAGTTGTTTTGAGTTCCATGTGTTATTCGATTGTAGGAATCCTGGTTTTGCTTCGCCAATCTGTGCCTTTACATCTACATCAAGTCCTCCTTGCTTATCGACAGTGCTGCACAGGTATGTGGAAGTTCCCCACCTCCTACAGGGCTTCTCCATCAAGTGTGATTGGGTTGGTGTTCTCCGTGTTGTATTTCAAAATCTTGCTGTTTCCTTGTGTATGTTGAGGTCTACTGCTGAAGAGGCTGCTGCTACACTGCTTTTCTTGACCTGCATTCGTTGTTGTATGGCATAGAAGGACTAGGTCATCTATAAAGTCCAAATTGTCTAGCTGCATCCAAGCTGAAAACTGTATTCTGTGCTTTTCCTGATATTTGGAGATCTTCATGATCCAATCAACTAACAGAAGAAAAAGAAATGGCGAGAGTAAGCAACCTTGTCTGACACCGATCTTTACTTGGAATGCATCTGTCAGCTGTCTTCCATACACCACTTTGCACTTTATTCTTTTGCATGAATTCCGTATGATGTTGACAACCTTCTCAGGTACACCATGTTGTTGCAGAAGTTTCCATAAGGCTCTCCCATTCATGCTGTCAAATGCTTTCCCATAGCGCTGTTTAGATGCCCAGAATTAATACAAAACATTTAGCTATGAGTCTCAATATTGTTTTCGGTGGCATTAAAAACTAGTTTCATGTATGATAATCATTAGTTTGAAACAAATATTTATTCACAGTTTCTAATCCCGAACGCAAAAATAATAACGTTTATTTTTGTTGCAATGCTGGCTTAGTGGTCAATCGAGTGGAACTTCGAAAATTAGGCTGCGAGTTTGAACTCCATCTCCTCATATTTCTGATGCTATGTCTTAGACTGACTACCTCTGACCTTTTCTCAGAGTACACATAAGCTAGCAAGCATAACACGTTGGGAAAAATTGTAGAGGTGCTCCGGCCAATGAAGTTTAATACCTAAGTTTGGTGATATCTTCTACTCATGTATGAAGTCTACATGGTCCCCTAAATAAAACATATTGTCATTTAACCTATCTATTGGTGATTATTGTGTTTGTGCAAACTGTCAACGAATAATGGTTTAATTAACACACCTCATTTGGCATCCTAAATAAATTTTTTGTTCGTAAAGTGAAGCTTTAGCATAGATCTTTACAGGAGTTAAATACACGAACAACTATGATTAACTAAGTGAATGAAAACAAGAAATACTGGTCACAGATAAAACTTCACAACTGATTCATCCGGCTCAATGCAAAAAAACACAGTAGATCTGCATCGGTTGTGAATCTCATGAAAAAACAGTAGTTAGAATTGAAAGAATCGTCGCAATAAACTTACTCACCTATGTTCATTCACTCCTAGTTCCGTAAATAAAATAATGACAATACTGTTAGTGTCTTAAAGCATCAGAAAAAAATTTGTGTTGAATTTAATTTGTAAATAGTAAATAACGACATTCTAAGTGAAAAGGCTTTGCATAACTGTTAATCTGAAAATGCATATTTCTTAAAAGTCCGTCTATTAAAAAGTACAACCGGAAATATCATCTTTTAGTTTTTTGTATGATGAGAAATTTTGTAATCAGATTGTGGATTTCAGTTTTTCCCCATAAAACTCTTCTCTTCAAAAATACTCAATGAACCTATTGTAATTGTTCTATTTATGACTTTGGCAAATGAATTTAAGAGATATCAAATAACCGTCTTCTCATAAGTGTAAGTTTATATGAAAGTTGCTGATTTTCATTTCTTTACACCATAAAATGACCTTAGTTAAATAACCATTGAAAACAAGGAGGCACTTGACATCTGTTTCGTTCCAGTATGGGATTCAAAAATCCCTTACACAAATAATTATGTCCTTACTATTGATTAATTTCGAGTAGTTCTTGAAGTTTTGGTGAGGAGCTGTGAACAATTAAGTTTAAACATGCTTTATGTGAAGCAGTTATCCACCAATGGCTCTGAAAGATAGTTACACAACGCAGCAGATTACGTGAAGTAAACAGTTTGGACCATAGGATTCTGACTTAGTAATCTAGAAGTTAAGCACTTACAGTAACATGTGAAAAGCCCTGGGTTTGGTTTCAGTGGGGCTGTGAGTATCTACTGCTAAGGAATCTTATAATAGAATGGAACAATTATCCGGTGCCTTCTGGTTTTCAGTGTGCTGTATAGTAGTGGGAGTATGATATGGCTGACCACTGAGCGTGAACTGACAGACGCTAACTATTCAATATGTGATTTCTTTTCTATTATTGATTTCGATTTTGGGCCCACTGAGTGTAAACTGCTTGTAGTTGTGTTGAATAAAGTATTGTTTAGTTAATACTATGATTATATATGGTCACGAATTGTGTATCTGTTATAGCATGATCCAGTCTATGTATAGCGTGTCGATCGAATATTCAGTCTGAAGAAGTGGCTTACATTAAGTCACGAAACGTCGGAAATACAATTTTTCTATTCATTGGAATGTAACAATGAAATATATTTATTATTATAAATATGGTCGTTAGAAGAATTGCTTGATTTCAGGTTTATTATAATCAGAATTATTTATAATTTGTATTAATGGAAAAAGCACTTAACAATCAGTTATCTTATTTAGCTATTCGAGGTGTTCAACAAAGTATAATTCACCTTCATAATTAGATTGATAATTGTTGTTTAAGGGAAGTTTTTAAGAATCATACTATTATAACAGCATGGATTCAGTAGCTTCTAGTTTCACCAACAACCAATTTCGAATTAACTCAATTTAGCCTACAGTATTATTAAATCATTTTTCTTTCCTTAACCCTGACAATGTTAAAAGTACTTTATAAATTGTTCACAAAGAGTCACTTGAAATTCAAAAATTCTAAAATCAGATTAACAAACCTTATTCTTATTTAACTCATCATAGTGGGTGCTGGTGTAAATCCACAAATAATCGATATCAGTGACGAGTTTATCAGTTATACTAGTTATAATAATGTTCCATGAAACTTAATCTTTTAAAAATATCGTTCTATAAAAGTAATTGGAAATTTTTAATGTCTATGAGAATTGGAAATATTCAATGAATATTGTCTTTATTTTGTAATCATAGTTATTAGTTGTATAATAAAGAATTACAGTTCATTATAAAATTCATATAGTTTTTTTTTCAAATCAAGAATACAAAGAAACGTTATACTAACTAAAGAGTATTAAAATCAAATTTGTTGTTCGAAAACAGAGAAGATTTTCACACATCACAACATCTATCATGAGGAAGTTCAATTTTATTGTAAGCTTTCTATATGATTTAGAAATGGATTAATCTTATAATCTTAAAGAACAAATTCCACGCATCAAAAACTTTATATTGTATTTATTTTACTGATTTTACCATTAATGTTCAAGTCAACAAAAGAACTATGTTCAATCACTTCGTATCCAAGGTGAAATGGTATTAAAAAGGGCAATGTAAAAGAATTAGAAGATGAGAATTTCGGTAGAATTCTCAGCATAAAGTATTTCAACAAGTTTTTTTTCTGACGATAAATATTGAGTGGTCGCCAGTGATATGTTAGCAGTTCGGGAATCGACATTTGAGTAATGTACACTGTTTTCGATGCGTATTGCCAGCAACCAAGATGTCTTTGATTGGGCCCTTCCGTAATTTGCACAGCGAAATGTCGCAAACTTGTCACAAACGCTCCTGAATAGGCTATGCGACTAATGAGCATAATGATATGTTAAAACAAACAAGAAAAGAGATAACTTGTTGAAATATCCAGATGGTAGGAACTGGTAGCCCATATATTCAAAGGGTCCGCCTAGAAATAATGTGGAAACAATTTGAAACCCCATCACTCTGGATAATATGCTAATATTACCGGAGTAGGTTTGAGGTGAGAACAAACTGTTTTTGAATACACAGAGGGGGTTTGAATTTTCACTAATATATCATATAGTTTTGATAATCTTCGTCTCCTTATTACACTATCGAAGTTTTTCTTTTTCCCATTTATAAACCAGATCATTTTTATTCAACTGCATATACTACAAATTTTAATTCAAATATAAAGTAACAAAATGAAATAGGTTTAAGCGTTTATTATGATTGACCAATGAATATGTGCCTATATCATATGATTGAATTTATTTCACGTGATCTCCATTATTATTTTGATGAATAAATCCTATTTATTGTGCATCAATTAGGCAAACAAAATAAACAAAGTAATAGATAAATAAACAACAGTTCAATGTTACATGTTCAGTAGACAAATAAAAATAAAGAGAATATGGATTATCACCTGATTATTAATAACAACTAATTTATTACTAATTCTACAATAAAATTCAATGAATCTGAATGTTAAACATTAAGTTAAAATGTTTGTGTATGAATTAATAGGATTTCTGTGTCATTTCTTAACCTTGAACGACCAATCAGAACATAAGAATATCTATTTTTACGCTTATTTGAAAAATAAATGAAATATTTCGATCTATGCAAAAGTTCGACGTAGGTTATCGACTGATGTATTGTATATATATATATATATATATATATATATATTTATTTATTTATTTAAAATCAAGTTAATTCCTTTACAATTACTCGTTCCTAATGCTTCAGTTGTCTAGAATCTATAAATGTTGGTAATAAGTTTTTAACTTCAATTCCCTGTATAATGGTTATTGGCTTATCCCTTTGTTGATATTTTTCCATCAATTGACACATATAAACCCCATGAGGATTACCTCGTTAAAGTCATTATTTTACAAGCGTTTATAGAATAAATAGAATGTGATTAGCAGTGGAAATTAAAATACGCGTTTCGTTCTGTCCTGAACTTTTCAGTTGGATCTAAATACATCTAAGAATTGATGTTTACTCTGGGGCTTGAACCCACTACGTTTTGATCATAACCCTCAACATATTATCCAGTCAATAACTAACCGAAACATCGCCAACATAATGAATGGCAAACGAATAAAAGCTGAACGAACGTTCATACACGTTGCACAAGTGAGTGGCCATTAGGACCTACTAAACTGATATCGCGTTGGATGTTTGAAGCAAAACGTACTAGGTTCGAATCCCGGATTGGACGTCAACTCTGAGATGCGAGCATACCTAACTAACTATCGCAAAATAGAGTGGAATGTACATCTGGGATTCCACCACTAATCACATTTCATTTATTCCACAAGAAAATTTTCCACTTTACTCCAAGTTCTCAAATGGTAGGTCGGTAAGGTAGGTTCCTAGGGTTGACAGCTACCGAAAATTTATGAACTGTCTGCTAACGCAGCTACTATCTTTACTGTTGTGTAAATCATCCAACATCAAAGCATTCTCGCTAGTTATTTGTACTTCAGTTGATATCAGATAAAATTAGCACATTCCTGATAGATTTTTTATTCTATGAATGTTGTAAAACAAAATAATATTACCTCTTACCCACCATTAAAGATAACAGTCACAATTGTGACGCCACATTCATTAAAACATAATATTTTGAAAATTCCTTTATATCTTGGGTGGCCACATACGATATCAACAGTGATAGAACCATCGGGTTTAATATCCCTCATTGAACATATTACATTCCGATCACTGGGTTGGCTTACATTGTGTATAAACAAATAGGTAGTTCCATTCTAGTGTAAAACAATTGTTTATTGCCCACTTAGTTTCAGTGGTTTCCTAGCTAATGTCAATCTGTAACGGAAATCATCTTTAAATTTATTCAGTTCACAAATATTACACCCAAACAATAGTTGGTTAATGACAAGTATATTCACTGGATTACACCTGTCATTAATTAGTTATGGTGAAAACAAATACATTCAATCTAACACTTCTTTCTTAATGGTCCGTCTTAATGAATTCAGTTGTACAACACACAATTTGTATATTTAAAAGGAAATTCACTTCACAGTTTCAACATACAATTAAGTAATAAATAATTTATGTCCATATTATATTTATTACTCAGCATAAATTATATTGATAATTAATACTGAATTGATGATTTACTATGAATATATGACTTGGTTGCGAATTGAATCAACTAGTTTATCATTCTTCTGTATGTTCCACTACAAAATGTTAAGTTTTGCTTATCGTTCATTTCCTTGTGCCTTTCTGCCCCTCGATTTCTCTTTTTTCTTTCGGAGTCATGCTCTGAGGGCACAGCTATGGAACTTCTGACATCTGGAACAAACCAGACGTACATGGTCACAGTTCACACCAAGCGCTCTACAAGTTTACTTAATGATAACTATAAACTTAAAAAGTTGCAATTCATAAATACTTAGCACGACCAAAATCCTAACACAATAATGCGGAGATCAGATCTCGTGTGTAACTTAGACGCGATGCTACTTCAGAGAATATTTTGAAGATTATTCGTTGTATCTGAAGGAATGAACTGATATTCACTTTTATAGACTATATTTGACATGCATACTGTGAAACAATAAATGTTGTGGTTTATAGATCATGCCCTGTACCTGCCATTACAGAAATATATATTATTATTATAAACTAAAGAACCACACAAGACTAGTCAAAATACAGCATTGTGAGTCTGACGTGCGACAACATGTTTCCTGAATAAGTTGTCTGTCATTTGGAGTAGGCTAACGGATGGACTACGGAAAGTGGACACAGTGAACCACTTTGTTCGTGAGTTAAATGAACTTGTAAACGACTCCAAGACACTAGATAAGCTGGATGCCATCCTCAATGATCTGACGCCCCTTTAACGTTGCGTAAATTGTGTTCATAATTTCTGTTGGTGTGAAATCAAGACTGTATATTTGACACGTGTAATTACTTGCGCTTGAATATTTCTGTAGCTACTATCATATGAATGTCTTGTTCTCAAGGACCGTTTATTTGCACCTTGTTTAAAGTAACGAGGCGTATTATAGGGAAGGCGGATACGAATTGAAGTTGCTTAGAATTTATTTAGTTGTCCGAATTTGTCATCGTCACTGCACCACCAAAAGCACTAAATCAATTACTTGGAATTTACCTTTGTAAACATCAGATTTGTTTGACCGCAATGCTTTGATATTCCTTGGAGGAAGTCACTTATGCCGCCAATTGAATATTACATCAGCATATGAAGTTATGCACACCAATTTTGCTTTTATTATCTGACAGCAAGGGTGATACGAATGTATCCTATCCAGGGAATTAATACAGAATTATTGCAAAGTAATATTGCCAATGATATCTTGAACCATATTTATAGACCTCGGCCTTTTTCGACCCGAAAAATACCGGTATCATTACCTGCTATGACTGAGAGTACAATTGTTTACTTGCTACAGTAAAATAAAACAAAGACTAATATTGCTAGGCGAAGGGGATAAAAGCGAAACAGAAAATGTGGTCGTCATGCTCTAACCGAAAGTCCTCAACTGACTAAAACCGTATTACTAGTTTCAACGATGCAAAAGTTAATTATGTCAGGAGTTAAGTTTAGAAGACACTGAACTGACAGAAGTTGACACTTGGCGGTAACTAGTCTGATGTGTTTCTGTAGCTTAGAATGATTATAGGGTAGTTGGTTTAACCAAGTAATATGGCTAAATCAATTAATAACATGTCAGGTTTGTTTTAAACAACAATAAAAATAAATTTTTATCGTGTCGGTGTAACACTGTTCTCTAACTGTAATATTAAGGCAGTTGCTTATGTGGTTCTCTTGGTTTTTTAGGGTGGCAGTGAGTGTCCCTTAGTGACCGAGTTTAGTTGAGCAGTATCGATAGGTCCAGTGAGTTACCTGTTTACCTCAAGTGAAGAAATAGGGTGGAAATACAACTAATACAACTGCGAATTGGGAAAAAGAAGGCAAACTGAATTTGAAGTCCATTTTCGTCTGGACATGTAGAGAGTCTGTGATGTCTGAGTGGGGCGCAGATGTGTTCTTACGTGCTAGATCAGTGTTACTATTTACAAAACATCATCAAGTATTTCACCTGTTCTATTACATCATTGTGCTTATTATTTGTTCATATATCCTGACAGAAATAATACGGATAGAAAATTTGCACACGTATTTACGATTGTACAGTTTGATAATAAATCCGCTGAAAAGAGATCCTTTTCCTAAACCTTGCGTTTTTATTATTTAGGTGGGAACAAAATTTCTTTTGCCGGGCCGTGTCATGGTTTGATGTTGTGAAGTCGTTCATCTAATCTCTGCCAGTAGGTTACGTCTTCAGGGTTTATGCACAACCTATTTTAGGGTCTCATCAGATTTTGGAATACTACCGGTAAACATACTGGGTGTGATATGTTTGACTTTCATGGTATTGCACTGTTTACTGCGAGAAACTGTGGGTGTGGACCACTCCAGTCGTGTTACTGGAAGTTAGTTCCTTTACAGCAGAATCAGACCTCCATATTATCAAGCCAGGATGGCATGAGTTGTAGTATGGGGAACGAGAAAGTTTAATTCATACAGCCTGTGGTGTGTGTTCAGATAAAGTGGGGAAAATATGTAAATGTTAGGAACAAGTCACAACATAGAGAAGATATGTAACATTACAACAATAAACAGGCTCATGGTACATCGTTCAGCGTGCCAGATCCCTTCGAGGCTCGTCAGTGAAGATGTCACAGATACACAAAATCTGATAACTAAACTGTTCGAGATTTCCTCCTACGATATGATGCCAAAACTAATAAAACCGGGCGTCAAGGTTAATGAAACGTGAACGTTTATTTGGATTAAAGTTCGACGTGCCATCATGTATGGAACATAAGCTAAATAATCATCATATGAAATGCGCAGCATGGCGCACCCAAATGCAACCTGGTGCTGATGGTGGAGCGCTGTCACTTAAAGGTGTATCCAGTAAGAATAACACGTTTAAAATCAATGTCGATGATTTACAGATTTAATTGTTTTTTTGGGGGGAAATAGTGTAGATTATAGGTGCTAATTCCTAATCCCGTTAACTCAGTAATTTAGCAGGCCAATTCTCTCAGTAGTTCTGTGAACTTACTCAGGAATATTCGAAAGTCAGAACACCTGTTGTTAGGAGGGTGTATTTTCGATAATTGACAAAATCTACAAACTCGCAAGAGGCAGAGCACATTGAAAATTGAATGAGTGTATGTCGATAAGAAGTCGAAATATCCATATGTATCTATATCTATATGTATCCACTAAGTCCTAACTTAGTATTTCCTTGAAGGCTTGAAAAACTTCTTGCATACCGTCCACAACTCTTAGAAATGACCTGAATCAATCTAAAGTATCTAATCCTCAATACTGACTAACAAACAGGGTTGGAATTAACCGAAAGTTCTGGGTTGATTTTTACTACCGCGACACAAGTTTAGAACAATTAATTAGCCTAGAATAAACCGCCATCAATACGATGGACATACAATTCCACCTATGGTGGCTACTTTGGTTTGAACTAGGAGCTTCCCAAAAACAGAGGGATGTAGGACGCTTGAAATCATACTGATGATGTCACAGGTATTCAGTGTTTGACAACGCTTCTACCAGTAACACCTTCTAATATATTTCATTCCCACCCATAGAAATCAAAAGACAGAGTCGAGGAGATCGGAAGAGTATATTTGGCGATGACCAATATATCGGAATTCTCTGATCTAATCTGGCTAGCGATTGCGGTTGATGTTGAGCACGACGTTACCACACGTGATCTGGTGCGGATGCCTGACCAAGCGCCTTCAGCTAGATGAGTCCACTAAAACATATGGTCAGCATCCAATGTCGAAAACTTAGTGCTATTTATTTTGGGGATTTATTTACCGCTACTATACAAATCCTCTTGCTTGAATGAAATTCAACTCAGAGTTGAAAAAGAATATAAACATCCATTTTGCCTTCATTCTCTGCTCCTTTTAGTTCTTCTTTTGATAAGGATAAACTACAAGTTGGTGATCGGTTGTGGTTACAAATATTTACAAAAAGGACATAGATGCAGTGGCTTCTAGTCACAGAGCGTTTTTTCTCATCTTAACAATCTTAGTTGGTTCCTAAGGCACCATCTACACAATAAATCATGAAGTTCCACCCAGTCGGCGATGGTGGTAGGATATGGTAAATTTTTCAGTTTTCAAAAGGTTGATATCTAGCCTGCAGGTGCGTTATGTGTCGGTGGAATGTGAAGGGAGAAAAAACGTAGGGCTCGACGACTTAGTAAGCCCAAAAAGTCGACTAAAATTAAATAACAAAGCAAGCGACAATAATTGTCAATAGTACAGGTATAAAATAAAGACTGTCTGATAGTTGAAAATAGAAGTTCATGCGTTTCCGAAAGGTTACCCCTGTTGTAACTCTTACATCATTCTTCCACTATTTACTGAAAATTTTGACCCTTGGGTACTCAGGGAATAGAACAAAAGCTTTTCATTGTCATGAACCGAAATGTTCGTCTTCCTGTTAAACGAAGTCTTTAGCTTGTCGTTCTTCTTGGAGGTCATTGCCAAGGCGCTAATTTTGTCACAGCATTTCCAGGGTATGGAGTTACAAAGTATAGAACCAGGTTATTTTACCATAAAGTTCCGTCTAGTTTCACACCCTTGTTTCTAAGTGACACTTAAATATTGAGGGTAGATAGTGGCTTTGTATAAGTATCTGGTAAGATAATCAGTAAATGTGAAAGTTAGTCTCGTAGGTTTAACTACACTTAAACATATAGGATCCTGTAGGATGTATGCCAGAAGAGATATGGTGATTTAGGCGTGGCGTTGCGTATTTTATTTAAAGCCTAGTTTTCGACGAGTATGTGAGTGAATCTTTAACTGTGCTAAGATACTCAGTCTAAGGAACACTTAATCATTTGACTTTCGTTATTATTAAGTACGGGATATACTTTTGACCTTCGAAATACTGCCGCAGCACTTTGACAAACTTTGTTATACAACTCCCAAATGCCTTGGTACAACCACATGGCCACGTGCATACAACCACTGCCAGGGAAGTCCTACTCACTGCCTTCTCGCGGTGAGGTGATGTTTACGAAATTGAGAGTACGAGTAGGGGATTTCTGGCGCTTTAACCGTGTTGGTGAATATGGAGAGTCCATCTGGGAGAGTTGGAAAACCCTGGTTCCAAATTGATGGTGCATATGAGCCCCGGGCTCATGAGGGAACAAATGGCGTATGAACCAATTGTTAGTCATAGGCTCCTATTGGGCTGAATCTCCTAAAGTTTCTCCACCGCCTTGTGGATTAGACCTTCAGACCAAAGGCTACAGGTGTAGCCCCCTAAGAAAACCATTTTCTTCTGTTGGGCGTCCAGGCAGTATCCTAGCCCTTACACAAATCGGATGATTTATGTGGGGCATATCTATTTGGTGCTTCTTTGTACCAATGTTTATGTGTTTGAATCAAATCTTCCGCAACCTCATTTCTCCACAACATTGTCACTTCTTTTGTATGAGGCCCTAATTTACTATCATTTTTGTCATGTGTAGATGACGAAATTGTTTAGTATCATCCTACTGTGTGGTAACATGGGCCAGTACGTATACGTCTCAGGCTATACTCTGGCGAAGAACAACTATCCGAAACGTCCCTTATTTCGAAACCTATGAATATAACAACTTATGTTGCCAAGATGTTAAGTAGATGATTTATATGCAGGAAGATTGCCCGGAGAAACTACATCTAACACTTATTTGTAAAAGAATTGTTTTCGGTCCACGACCTCTTTTTGTACAATTAGAAGTTCCTGAACTGCTTAAAGTAAATTTTTCGTAATTTCTGCCGTTTAACTACTCATAAATCTCGCATTTCTATTCTGTAACGATCGAGTAGATTTAAGAGATAATAAAGGATAATCCACAAGCCTGGGAGGATTCCAATCCTGTACTCACCCTGGATGGTGAGCAGATAGACGTAGTCGAGAAGTTCGTGTATCTGGGTAGCTGCATAAGTGCTGGTGGGGGTGTGAGTGATGAGATCAATGCACGGATAGTGAAAGCCAAAGCGGCTTATGCCAATCTGGGCCACCTTTGGCGCCTTCGTGATGTTAGTCTGGCTGTAAAAGGTCGGATCTACAACGCGTCGGTGAGAGCAGTTTTGCTCTATGCCTGTGAAACCTGGTCTCTCCGAGTTGAGGACGTTAGACGACTCTCTGTGTTCGATCATCGCTGTCTACGAAGGATTGCTGACATCCAGTGGCAACACCATGTCAGTAATGCAGAGGTTCGGCATCGTGTGTTCGGGCACAGGGACGATTATGCAATTGGTGTCACCGTCTTGAAACACCGACTTCGGTGGCTTGGACATGTTCTACGAATGTCGCCCCAGAGAATTCCACGTCGTGCATTATTTGCCGACTCTGGGACTGGTTGGAAGAAGCGGAGAGGTGGTCAGTGCATGACATGGTGTCGTGGCATGAAAGAAAGCTGCAAAGGACTGGCTTCTGTCGGTCCTTCACGACTCCCTGGTTGGGGTCTAAGAGATGGTGCTACACAGTGGCTAGAGACGTTATCAGATATGGCTCAGAATAGAAGCCAGTGGCGATCCTGCTGTAACCTTCTTTTACTTTCTTCATAAGTGGTTGTGTCTCCCTTACCTGAAAGATTTCTTCTGATTGTACCTTTCCGTTCCCTCATTACTACCACACTACCTTACACCAATCTCTTCGTTTTTGTTCTCTTTTTTTTCGCTCCTTACCTTTCTTTTCTCTTCGAATTCTCATTGTTTTGTGTGGCGCTTATATATTGGCGCTCTCTTGTATCAATATCCATGTGTTCAAATAAATAATTACTATTGTTATTATTTACTACGTCATTTATTCACTCTCTTTTATTCCTACTCTGTCTATCCTTATTTTTCGACTTATACAGCAGCTCGTCTATGGTGGAAATTCGGTTCTATCTAAACGTTCTCGAGTAGAGACGTTATCAGATATGGCTCAGAATAGAAGCCAGTGGCGATTCTGCTGTAACCTTTTGCTTTCTTCATAAAAAGTGGTTACTTCTTCCTTAACTGAAATATCTCTTCTGAGTGTACGTTTCTGTTTCCCCCATTATTATTATTACACTACCTTACACTAATCTGTTCGTTATCGTTTTTTTACGCTCCTTACCTTTTTTTCCTTCTCTGCAAATTCTCATTGTTTTGTGTGGCGCATATATATTTGGTGCCCTCCTGTTCCAATATTTATGTGTTTAAATAAATAAATAAAACTGAAAACACACATATCAACGACATGTGCAGTTGCTCCCCAATTAATTTTTGTCTCACTGAGTTTTGACTTCTAGTGCTCAACCATCGTTTTTTTCATCATTTTCATATAATTTCATATATCTAACGTCAACAGAAAACGTTCGCAAGACCAATGTCCCATGAGTATTTAAAACGTTTTGATGAATGAGCCAAAATATTACGGTAATTTTTCTTTAAAACAGATTGCGTTAAAATCATCCAAACCTCATTTTGATTTCTTTTCCCTCAAATGTCCACTTTAGATTATTTTCTAAACTAAATGGATTACATCGATGTGTACAAGTTACGTCAATTTAAGTAGTCAGGGATGAATCGTTTAAGAAGAACATTCAGCTTTCGGAAACGAAAAAAGCAGAGTAAGAGTGAAGCTGGTGATTCTTCGAAACCACAACAATGGCTAGATGATGAAGTGAAAATCAAGGAGGGATTCTGTAGTTTCCAAGTTAAGGTTTGTTCGAAATATTATATGTTACATGTCATTTTAGTATTTAGGGAATATTGAAGTTTATGAGTCAAGAGGAATGCAAGTATGTGAAGAAGCGATTAAAGCTCTAAGAAAATCAAAGGTTTGTCATATTTTCTTTGGTTAACATACAATGGTATTTCAAAGAAACCTCAAAAAGCTGTTTTATCTGTCAGCGGTGATGCTCTACGCGTTTCAGATGACGTTAGCCAGGTGCTTTGGAATTTTATGTATTTATTTTCGTTTTAGCATCTCATCGTCGATCAGACAATTGAAAAAGTTTCATTTTGTGCTCCTGATAGAAATCACGAGAAAGGGTTCGCATATATATGTCGTGATGGAGCTACCCGCCGTTGGATGTGTCACGCCTTTCTTGCCGTCAAGGAATCCGTAAGTTTTTGAACATGTAGTAGATCTATCTACATTTTTGTTATCATGGTATATAGATGCCTTTATAAAATATTGTGGTACGGTGAGTAGCAAGAGTATCGTGTTCGTGCTGTTTCTGGTTGGATTTTTCGTTGACACGGAACATTTAAATGTACTTTTTATGAGTTGATAACGCTTCGCATTTATGTGACCAGTTTTTCACTTATTGGGACTGTCATATTTTAACGTTGCTTTTCCGTATTGATGAAGTGGTAGCTATCCTGAAAGCTTACTATTTTGATGAAGTACTGTGTTTGGTATTTATCTGGAATAAAACCTGAACTCGGGTTTCACTCCAGTTGGAACTAATCGGGGCGACGTTTCCACTATCTTTAGCAAACTGATGTAACTCTTGGGATTTAGATCTGCTTAATCGTCTATCTCAGTCAGTGATTCTGAAGATGTGGGGGCGCTTATCACTTTTGGTTACTTACATCGTGGAAGGATACTCTTTCTTGGGGTACCTGAAAACGAGTAGTCTCAATAGATACATTGACATTCCATTGGTTATCATCGCCATAAGACTTGGAACAAATGTGCATTTGTCCAAGTTACCACATCGGTGCAACGATCAAGGAAGTTGTTAAGATGAGCAACAAAGAAAAGGAAGTGATCTAAACTGCATTTGCAATCTTAATGTAGAAAATGCAGTAACAAATGAACCGGTGAAATCAAGCAATGAAGAGTTTAAAATATCACATAATACTTAGATGAGGATAAAGGATTGTTGCAACTGTGGCACTACTATCGAGTTCACACCATATCATCGTTATCAGTTGTTACAATCGTTAATGATTCTATCATCTTTAGATCACGTTACTTACGCCCGGCAACCACGATGGACAGTGGTGGGTAGAACAAAAGTGATTTGAGATGTGACTGAGGCCTACCAGACTAATACGTGGTATCAGTTTGTGTGATATTTCCGATTGTATTGGCTCGGGTCGCGAGGTGCTGATTTCCAGTCACTGCTGATATCTGATATGACGGGATGAAAAGTCGAAATTAGATTGATTTACTTATTATAACTTTTGTTCATCATTAATTACGTTTTAGTTCAATGTGATGATTACTCAGTGTAGTATTTGTTTTGTTTACCTGTATGACATTTAATTCTGCATAACATACGATATTCTTGTATTGAGTTAACACGAACTATACTGAGCATATGTGTTATAATTATTTTTCATATGTGTGGTTTTATTCTAATTATTAATCAAAAATTGGTGCATGAATCAATATATAAACGAGTGTATTTCGTGGTTGTTCGTGCTTCTGGCTGCTTGTGGGATAAATTGTCCTCTTCCGAACTTGAACGTCTCTCTCTAGTTAGCTGGGGCTGAGACCCGTCAGAATAGCTATCTTATCTGTCATTGTGTCACAGAGTCTTCGTTCCGTTCTCAGATTAGGTGAACTCGTAATCTCTTCAAATATAGCAATATCAAAAAGTAATAGTCGGTTTTGTCGGTAACATACACATGATTTATAGGTGTCTAGTGGCATGAGATATTTTATAGTATAATTTAATGACTAAGGATATACTTTCCTCGATTAAATTTCTGCTAAAGCTCAACTTAGAACGTTTTACTCAGTAAATTTTCAAATTCCTGCCTGAATACAGGGTGAACGGTTGTCTCATGCTGTCGGGTGTGCTTTCGCTATATGTTTGGAGAAGAAACAAAGACGTGAACGAGATGCTCTTCAGTTGGAGGCTTCAGATGATCGTCCAACTTTCGCTCGTGTTGGATCGTTTCGTCCGGTATGTCAATGAAACTTACATCTTAATCACTTTAAAGTAACAGAATCATAACCCTATTTTTTAGTTTAATTTGTCTATATGATCTAATTTTTGACTTACTGTCGAACACTGGAAATGTTTCAATTTGTCATTTCAGTTGCAGTATTTATGTCAAGTAGGCAATAAGCCCAAAAATTGGTATCCGTAAAGACAGTCTATTACTCTTAAGAGCTGCGGAAACTTTTGAGTAGCAACGGTTTCCTGGTCCCATCTTTAACATCCAAGCGATCAGTAACTACTAATACTTTTCTGTTTGTATCCATTTTAGAGTTCGTTTATGTTCACGCTCTCCGCTGTAAACCCTAGGTTCAAAACTCTCATAGGTTTCTAGTTAGGTGGTCTGAAGGTTACAATTTCACATTTTCTTTACTCAATACGTTGAATTTACCCCAGTACTGCTAAGCGTAAGTGCTGTACACCAAAGGTAGGAAAAACAAGGCAATTCGGAAATATCTAGTGAGTTGTATTTCGTGAATACCTCGAATAAATATTGTATTTGTCCTCACATCAAGTACAAACTTTATCATGTAACTTTGTTTTATTTCTTGACATACCAAAATGCTCAGCACAAATCGAAATGACAATATTGTGGGACATCCAAGTATCCGTAAATAAAATGTGCATGGATTAATCAGAGTATCTTGTTTGGTAAAAAATTACCTGTAGTGAGTTTTCTATGAGAGATACTTACCAACTTATGAATACTATGGTTCAAACCCTTGTGGCTCTGTCTTGGTTGCTATTGCCTTTAATCCATATTCCGTTTCATTAAGCATATTAATAAAGAAAATAAGCGACTTGGAAATGATAATATGGCGAGGAAAACATGAGGCAAAAGTGCATGAAGTCTCTTTAGGAATATAAAAAAATGAATATATTTGCACCATTGTTGATTAATTTGAGCTACATATGTTGGAATTAATCAATTTTAACCAGTTTATATTTCAATGTTGTGTACTTTATGTCATATTAAAAAGTAGGAATACGACTAGAAATTACTTTGATAAGGCAATATAACTATGTATTAATTTGGTTATGAACAGCAATCATAGCTTTTGAATGAGAATGAGTGATTCGTCGATGGCGTCAGTCAAACTGTCTATCTATTAATTCACGATTATAATAGTTGTAGTTCTCTATGTTCCATTGTGATATTTTATTTCTGTTTGTTTTTAACAACGTATGGTAAATTCTTCCCATTTTATGAAAGGCTACTCTCGCCGAACGGCTGCTGGATCCTCAGTCTACTATTGTAGTCGACCCAGTGCCAAAACCTAATAATATATCTTCAACATTACCTACCACTATAACTCGGGTGTCTTCACCAGTTAACCATATTGGAGCTATCCCACGACCCCATGCTAGTCCATCAATTATTGAGCGACAAGTAGGTACTTTTTGTTTGTTTTATTCAATATTTTATCAACATCAAAGCGCGTCAGTTTGATAACTACACACCGTATTTAAGTTATTATGCGAGTCAGACTATTCATTGGATTTAGCAACAAAAATGTCAAGATGTGGAGTAAGTTTAACAAAGACTATACAAACGATGATTGCTTAGTGACTACTGACTAATTGCAAAGAAACAATGTACAGATGTCAGCTAGTTATCAGAGGGAAGGACTTGTAAACAGATTATTTTGGTGATTAGTTAATGGATTAATTCCCAACAACTTTTTCTGTTGTCCGTAATAAACATGCAACATAGGTTAAAAAAGTCGATGTCAAAAATGAATTTATTTTGATTATCCTTTCGTGTAACAACCTATTTCACATTTCTATCTAATTACTACTATTATTTGTCGTCGTATTTACTTCCCTATTTTGTTCTGCATCTTCATAATGAAATTAAGTAGTTTTGTAAATATTCTTTCTATTTAATTTCGAGTGTGTTTTTCATCACGAAGTGACATCAGTTGGGGAGTGTTGAATACTCAGTTTGTTCTAAATTAGGTCTCGTATAAAGTGTGCATCAACAACCACATACAAGATCAAGTGTTTCTAGGAACACTTCGTAATTTATGTTTTTCTTTGGTTTATACTTAAATTACTTATTTCTACAAGTTAAAGTTGCTCCTCGCCTTCCAGATTCATGTTCTTTCTGATGAATTTTTTTCTTCTCTTGTTTGGACACCTTATCTTTGATGTTACTTTTCTCTATTTTCCAAGGTCGTTCCTTGAGAAGTTATCTGTACTCTAAATAGTTGTTGTATACGTGCCTTATAAATATTTAGAGTACTGTCATCCTGTATATCGTTACAACTCGTACAAATCATAGACTTGGTGTTTGATCTCTCTGTTCTTAGGTGCAAAACACTGTTCATACTTGAAAAACAAAGAAATATTTTAAATATGGTATGAATTAACCTATCGATTTCTAGTATATCATGTTAGTCGGTCAAATATGTTAATTTTATTTAATATATTATCATTCTTCAATAGAAATGATCATTACATTCAAGAATGTATATACTTATTTATGTTTAGTGTAAATAGATTTATTTATACTAAATTTAGATAGATTTGGTTTTGTGAACAAGTCATGTATTTCTAAGAGAATTTTCAAACAAAATTTCGTTGTTTATAATATCGTAAATACTTCAAATTACGGATAACAGTAAAATCGAATAGGCACTTTTCTTGTATTTGGGACTTGATGTCTGTGTGTACGTTTATCCCTAGTGTTGATGTTCATACTAAGACTCAAGTTCAGGACCTTTCGTGTCAAATGTTGATGTTCTATCCACAAAGCTATGAAATAAAGATAATTAATTTGGTCAATAAGTATAATTACGGTCATTATTATTATTAGTAATAGTATTAGTATCATTAGTATTAGTACTATCAGTATTAGTATTATTAGTATTATCAGTATTAGTATTAGTATTATTGGCATCACTATTATTAGTATTAGTATTGGTATTACTAGTATCAGTACCATGAGTATTATGGATATTCGTAAGGGTTCACATTTAATCGTTGTTAATGTTAAGGACTTAAATTTCTTCAGTATATGTAGATGTATGTTCTATCTGAGAAAATGCCTTGGTATCATCTGAAATTTCAAGTTAATTATTTCTTTAAACAATTATTTGGACTTAATAGTTTATCCGACACCATAATGGCGTTTGAAGCGTCAGTTGCTGACTGACTAACGTGAAGCGATAAGTACTGTGTTGGAGTTTCAGTGTATATATTACTGGGATGCAGGTACATTCAACTGACAAGTCCTATATAGGATGAAATATGTGTCTTAGGCTCCACTGTCAACTATAATCCAAATTAATGATAAATTTAAAATGACGGATTCTAACGTTTTTAAACATTTAGAACAGAATTTAACTAGAGATTTCTTCGTATTGTAAGTCATAGTTTCTTCTGAGAACTAAGTTTTTATACAAGTGAATTGTTGAATTTTAGAATTTACTTTCCTTTTCTAATCAGGGTTCGCTAAGAATATTTCCAAAATTACAAGAGAATAGTCCTTTCAAAAGAGATCTTTCATTACGTCTTGAAGGAGTTCCTTCAAATGTACGCCGTTTGACCGGAATAATTCAAAGTAGGTGTAAATGATTTATACAACCTTTCTTATTGATCATATTGTTTGTACTATAATTTACTAATGTTCTTTATAAATGTCATTATACAGATAGCATTCCATTCATTAAAGTTGAAATACTTTTTTTCTAGCTTGAACGCATAAAGGACTTTATTTTTCCAGAAGGTAGTTAATGCCATTATACTTGTGTATAGTAAATGTATCATTTAAATAAAGCGTTTTAAGACATTTAATAAACCGTAAAGTGATATTACAGGTTATGTAACTTCACTCACTTGGATTAATTATGTCATTTTAAGAAGTTTCATATGTTATTTTGTTTGTGGTAGACAACTTCTTGTGAATATCCGGATTTTTCTAAATGGGAAATGCTTTCTCCTACAATAGCAAGATGATATTTCGTGATAATGAACAGACTGATTGCCAACTACATAAATCAATTGGATACTCGTTAACTCTTGGATACTATTTAATCCTAATCGGTTTTACACTATAAGTTTCACTCACTGACCTTATAGCAAACAGTAAGCGGTTTATGTTCCACCAAATGAAACGGATGCAATCGCCTCTGTGTGTAGTTTTCTTGTAATTATCGTCAGCAAATGGAAGAAGCAAGACAACAGATACTTTGTCATGAACAATTATTACTCAGTTGGGGTATATAATTTGTATTATAAATTATTAAGCAATTCACTAGATAGTTTATGAGTTGTTCGATTACTGATGATTTTATGATAATAGTAAATATATTTTTTGTTATATTCCCAATGAGTATAAAATTTTATTTCTGACGTTTCGTGACTTGGTGTAAGCCACTTCAGAGTGGTTTATCTACCCCGGTATCTGTGATATTTGTCACTAAAGAATTCTATGAGATGCGAATTTCACGTTGAATTCTATCGTTATCACAGTAATCTTTGAATGTGAAATCCGCTACACTTTGAAAACTACAAGGCTTTTTTGTGGGTCAGTATTCAACTTTGTTAAGTGCTTCAATATCTAGTTAATGTGTATGCATTTGGTATGATGCTACGATTTTCGTTAGCGGTCATGCACAAGCGCGTTTATTAATTTGTAAGTTAATGATTTCCTGTCACTACACGAAAAACCATGCTGTTGGGATTGGTTGTGAGGAAGTACTACTGTAGCCAAGATGTCTTATTTAAATATATTCAGGGTTGGTATGTATCAGTATTTTCTACTTTGTAAGATATTTATGTATGTGATTATTGAGCTCACTGCAAGAGTTATCATCACATTGTTCATCGCCGTATCGAGAAAATTCAAAGAAGCATTTGTTTTATCAATTTTAATGTTAAGAAATTATGTGATTAATTGTCAGGCGGTTTGCGAAAAAAATTTTGAGGACTTATTAATCATGAATTTAAAAATAACGGACTGCATAATAATCATCACCGCTGTGGTTCTACTTATGTAAAAATGGTTATAATACTATAGTAATATAAATTTTCACAGCAGTGATGTAGAGTTGTTAATACACTTGTTATCTAGTGATAGTGTGATAGGTTCAGATCCCAAGCTCTGCCTACTTTGGTTTAAGAGATCAAGTAGTATCACTTATAATCTCTCAAAAAGTATGACTTGAAACTGTGCATAAATCTATACTTAGTTACTGAATTGGATTAATCAATGTATGTGGTATCTTTGTAAGATCCGGTGACAACTGTAAACACCTTTGACTTTATTATCTTGGTTCAGTTTGATTCATGGGATGTTCAGTCAAAGATTAACATACCGCTCTTCACTTTAGGTACATTCTGAGTACTTCAATATTGGACTTGATTTATGAACGTTCTGATTAGTCATCATTATATAAGATCCATTGAATACTTGCCATAACTCCGATTATTTTCTCTCCCAGACTCAGAAACTAACTCAAAACAGAGTGGATAAAGCTATAGTTGACAAATTAGTTAAAACAAATAATTGGTCGATGAGTATTATCTTAATTATTTATCTCATCATAACGCTATGTTCTAGTTAGCTTCCATATACGTTAAATTACTTAATTTCCGTAATATCTGAACGGGTTAAGTAGTCGTTGGTTGGTGGAACTATCCATTCAACACTTAAACTATTCAGTGGTATTGTAGCGTCTAACCGTTTATTCGCATTTGTGCTGGTTTTTTTAAAGTATTTTTCTCATTGAGATTATACAGTTCAGTTGGAGATATACTATTTATTTAGTATTTTACGGATTAAAGAATATTACATAGACTATTTCTAACATCTTTATTTTGTTCCTTTTTATCTATTTTCAAGGTGCACCTATAGCGGAGGAACCAGATACAGAATTCGAACCAACGAAACTAGGTGTATCTGCTAAAAATAATGGGCGACCTGAAAAAACGAATTAGTTACTGTATGTTCTACGTCTAATTGTAGCCCACCCATAGTAGTGGCCAGTTCATCTTCGAACCTTTCAATTATGAATGGTCTAACTGTAGTAACTCAATCATTTGTACCTAGTAGCCAGTTTAAAAGTGATTTCAATCTTGATCCTAGAACATCACAGGCATTTATACCTCCAATTATTTCGGATCCTTTTTCTGCTGCTCCAATCAATCCAGCTACAATACAACGGCACTATCAGATGGAATTGCAACAACAGACAGCCCAACAACAGCAAATCACAGGTTCTTCACTACTAAGTTCCAAAGCAAGTGTAGTTTACTACATAACAATATTTTATCCCTTCACTATGCATTCGTTCATAATTTTAGTTTCACTTAACTGGATATGATTGGCTTAGAATACGTAAATGATATTTTCTTGTTAGTTGGAGTCAATATAATGAAAACTTAGGAATCTTTGTCATACTTTTTCATAAATATCAAACGTAAAACGATATTTTTTAGGTGTCATAAACAAACATGTTATTGTTTATCAGCAGGAAGTTGTTTGACCTGGAATAATTTATTAGTTGACTTATTATTTGGATTGTTCGATCAATCTTTTCAAGTAGGTAACCAATAAAGAAAACATAAACATGTTTATTCACACTTGACATCGTACCGAATTTTCGCTATTGATAGAAGTATTTACGTATCATAGTTTTAGTGCGTAATCTTGTTGGTTTTTATCGTGCATCGTTTAGTGGTTTCTATGTTTCAAAGTAAAAGTCAGTAGGTACTTAACAGTTGATAATTTTTCAACGTCTTACATTTACCATTAAATCATTGAATGTGTCATACTAGTAATGTTTACATCTCCAACGAAGTAAATTTTTTAGTATTTGCTAACTGGGACGGTTTGAATGTATATTGAATATGTTTGCTCTTGACTTCCTTTGTAAATATACTCAGAGTAAAGCGACCAAGGTAAAACTCTATAAAGACATTGTTTATTTACTTGTGTGGATTAGATGTGGTATTAGTAGGCAAAATAGTAAGAAATTTACTGTTTGTTATTTTAGATAATTTAACTGAGAATTATTCATAATTTGGCAGTTGTGACCACTATGAAGGAACATGAAAAAGCGTTTATTTCACGTTTTATGCCAGTCGTTTGTAGAGAGGTCGTTCTAGTTCAATAGATGATTTAACAACATAAATCGAAGTGATTAAACTATTATTTAAGTAATTCTTTGATGAATGCAAAGAAAGTCACGGGCAATTACCAACTTACTCCTCATATATCTCCAATATATATCTGAATGCCTTAAATAATGTCAGATGACACCATATTTATCAATTATTGTTCAGCAATACTGAAGTCCGATACGCATCGGATATACAGAAAGGACTTTTATATGTATTTGTCTATACTGATTTCACAAACTAATCTGAATAGAAACTCGTGATTTTATTGATTCGTACTTGGTTAAAACATATCATTACTATTATTATCATAATTATTGTACATTTCACCAATATATTTAGGTACAGTAAAATCCGGCCATAAATTAGTTAAATCATTATGATATTTTTAAATTCTGTGCCATTTTTATGAATTGTTCGAAACGAAACCGGAAGTCAGGAGGATACTACGGTTAACTTACAATTTTCAGTATGTGCATCATTTTAATGAGTTTTAGTTATTTTGTAGATAAAGTTTATTGGTTTATCATTGTAAATACATTTTTATGTTCTTTGCATGTAATAATAATAATAATTGTATTTTTAGGCTCCAACGGCTGTTGTTTCAACTATCAGTTCTACACCAACTTCACCATTTTTAGGCGGACCACCAATTGCTGCTCCAACTGTATCGACTAATACTTTTAATTCTAGTCCATGGGCAGTCACATATCCACAGATGCAACAATTTAACAAATCTATTATTCAGTATAGTTCAAATTTACCCAGTTCTCCTACTGGTACAGTGAATTCTCAAACAAATCTAAATTATCCTTCCAATGGTGTTTTAAAATCAGGTGGTTGTGAAGTTGCTAAATTATAGTTGATGAATGCTGTTTCAAATCATGTGTTATTATTATCATTATTAATTTTCATTGTTATTACCTACTTATCTTCAATACTCTTTAATCATTTATTTCATCCCATTACTTTCGATATTTTTCTCTTGTCTCCTTACACTTATTTCATTTGCTTCTCTAGGTTCCACAAATCCATGGTCATCATCAATCGGATTGATTGATGGAAGAAACGTTAGTAATGCAAACTGGCAACCTTCATCACCATCGTCATTGCCACCTGCTCTTCTACCTCCAGAACCTGATTGTCTTTCGGATCCATTCGATTTAGGTTGGGTGGATAGAGCTACAGCTGGTGTATCGAATACATCAAGTGGACGAGGCATTAGTAATCCATTTCTAATTGCTAATGGGGGTGGTGATGATATCCCTAATCCAAATGCATCATCTGTTCATTAATTAAATCAACCATATGATAATAATTGTTGTATATAATATTTTTTTTTCTATCAACAAAAAGAGTGGGGATAGAAATCTGCCTCGTTAATGATCAATGATAATTAGATTCTTCCTCATTATTATCCCTTGTTTCACTAACTTTCTTTACTCAATGCAAAACACTTCATAACATTTTCAAAATGTCTAGTTTCAGATAATTTACATTATATAACAAAGTGTAATTTGTTGAATTCTTAATTTTGTCAGGGCCATAAGTGAACAATATTATTTCTAAAAATAGTAGGTCAGTGCCCATGTATTCGCATTCCTTCTTACATACACAAGAAATACTTCTTTTTTCTAGGTGCTGTGTTGATTATTTTCTCCATTATAAATTAAAACAGCATATGACAATGATAACAATAAATGGTGATGGATGCAGATTACTATTACATTTTGTTTTCCTCAGTAAAAGTTTCAACAGTTTTCGAAAAAAGCAATAGATTCTTCTTTTGTATTGATGCTGTGATCTTAATTTTCTTGTTTTTCTTTGCTTCGATTTAAGTTTTTATCCATCATGCTTTGTTTTAAGAACTGATAACATTTTCATATAGTGTGAGTGTATTTTACACAAAATATCCATTATATGCATTACTTCTGTTATTATCTATTTTGTTGCGGTCGCATATATTTGTGTATTTATCTCATTTGTTGTTTTTCTATCCTCCTCTACAACTTGATCGCCCTACTCGTGCTTATTTTATCTTTTATCAGAGGACTGCCTGTGTGTACACTGCATGAATATTCTTTCTCCTCATCATCCTTATCATCATTTATCCGCATTGACAAGCTGTTTCTTTCTCTATGTTTTGATGTTTCTCGCTCTCATTTCATTGAATAGGTTCCGAATTTTTCTCAACTTTTCTTCTCTTTCCCTGTCGACTTATATTCATTTCTCTATTTACATTATTAATTTAATACATGCTTAAATGTAATACGGTCTTGTCATATAACATATTGTTTTATTTTTTATCGAAACCAAAAGTTATTGGGTGAAAATGATCTCATTATTATTATTATTATTATTATTATTATTATTATTATTATTATTATTATTATTATTATTGGTGATTACATCTTGTTCTTTAGTTTCGCTTGCTTTTGTCATCTTCCATGCATCGTTAGCTACCATTTCTGATAACTGTGGTGTGATAGCCATGACAACAATGTCAATGATGGTAATGGCTGGTGAAATTATTAATTGGTTTCCTCTTTCTATCACGTTCTTTCTTATGTCTTTAGTCAAATGATCTTTTTTTACAAATACATTTGGTAAAAAATCTTTCTATCTAAAACATATATGGACCAAATTGCGTTTTGTTTATGTACGTAACATTAATTTTTTTAAAATGTTAAATGATCACATAATTTTATTTGATTAAATCGTAACATTATTATTCATGCTTATTGCCAGTACAATGTTCCAGTCCGAGATATCTAATTAAAAGAAGTTGATTTAATGTACTATTGTGCACCATTCTTTTTCTTCTTTGTGATTTATTCACTAATGACAAACACAAAATATTGCTTATTCTAATCAGAATTATAACACTCAAATTAGTAGTAGTGGCTTTTTCATTAGCTATCTTATTTGATGTATGACAAGTATATATGCGCCAAATGTAATGTAAACAAATCTGTTTGTTTTTCTCCTCCACTGTAACACACCTTGTGTTTTTAATAAAAATCGAACCTACTTTCTTTCTGTTACACCATATTGTCGTCTTTACTATTATTATTATGCGATTAATTTACCCTTACTCTTGTTGTTATATTCCAGATCAACTATACATTGGAGATAAATGATGTTAACATTACAAATAAAAATGATTTTCTCTTACGGTTCGGTTTGTTTTTTAACAGGTCAAAAAATTGCTTTGTTATTCATGTATCCATCCATGCCAGATTTCAATCATTAGGTCACAGACTCGAATAGTGTCTGCTACATTTAATCCGGGTTGGATATTCGGATGCTTAAACCGACCTTTATGTTTTAAAGTAGAGTGCGTAAACTTACCGATTGATAAATGAATTGTGCTTTCCTGTTATAGTAATAATTCTAAATGGGGCGCTTTTTATTTAGGATCTATTTAATTTTATATTGATTTGGATCCTCCAACTTGCTTCTTCTGAAACTGTTAAATTCTAGAGAATAATTGTATCAGTTTAGTTTGTAGGTTCTTATTATTGGGGATGTGCATGATCGCTACTACATACAGATTCAACACTAGAACTTGTGAATTGATGCACTGTTGTTCTTAATATTTCTTTAATGGACAACTAACAAAAAACTAATGTGTCAATCGATAAGCTTTTGCACTCAGCTTTAAAACATAAAGGTCGGTTTCAGCATCCGAATACCCAACCCGGATTAGCTGTAGCAGGCACTATTTGAATCTGTAACCTAATGATTGAAAGCTGGCATGATTGCTTATATGAATTACAAATGTTCAAACAATGATCAACTAACATTCTCACTCATCC